AAATCATCGCATTAAGCCCCAGCTCAATACAACACGCACAGATATCTTCGTCGTCATCAACATACTCCGTTTGATGACCCATATCGCGTCGAGGATCGTAATCAGGACGACGAGAAAGCGCGTCAGCGAGAATGTTATTCTTGCCAGGCTTGTAATGCACCACAAAATTATACTCGGCAAAAAATGACAACCACCGTGTCACACGCTGGGACAAGTGAGGACTCTTGACGGCGGTACACAATGATGCGCGATCTGTGTAGATAGAAAACATCTTTTCGCCGAGCAAATATACTCTAAACTTGATTAGCGCGTAACGCATAGCCAGAAGTTCCTTGTCGTGTACCGGATAATTTTTCTCGGCAGGTTTCATCTGTCGTGATTGAAAACTTACGACGCGCTCTCGACCCTCGTCATCAAATTGCATTAGGGCACATCCTATAGCAAAATCGCATTACAGACAGTATCACTAACAAAGCCATCGACTTTTACTTGCTCTATACGAGAGCCGATGTCATTACTGACATCCAGTGTCTCAATATTACTTTGAGTATCACTCAACGGAGTACGTGCCGTTCCACTAGGTGTCACTGAGCTCTGCTCGACACTATTATTATTGAAAGTGTAGTTTATCAGCTCAGATACGATTCAATGTCCAAAACACTAATTGACTCAGTTCACGGCTCGCGCCAATAGCACTTTTGTTTCCTAGCGAAGGTGGGTTCATGACTTTACAAAGCTTCGCTAGGAACATTGCGCGTGGCGCCTAAGGTTTTAAATTTACAATCGAATTATAGCTCATGGTTTTCCAGCCAGGCCATACCGAGAATGAGATCATATCTCGAGTCCAAATCTAGGACAAGACAGCGTTCAACGCTATCAAAGTCTAAGAACTTCACACCTAAGTTCAGCGGAACTTTAGGAACGGTGACACGTACACCTGTTGCGAGACAAACGGTTATACTGTCACCCTCTTTCGCTTCTAGCGCCTCAGCATACCGTTGACTTCCTATAAGGGAATGAGGTCAAAAATAATTGCACGACGCCCATGAGTCAATTAGAATTGACCATGGCTTCTCAAAACCCTTAACGGTTGCCGACACAACCAACACGCCTGGCTTGTATTCCTGTTCCATGGAAGCATACACAGAACCACCTGGGGCTAAGCCCTGTTTACCTTTACCTCCTAGAGGTTCAACAGAACTTAGTTCTTTCCCAGTAGGGCGCCCCGCGCGTACTGGGAGCTGACGTTTTCCCCTGCGGTGCTCGATTTTTGGCTAGGAGCAGGGTTTCGGCTCTGCCGATTCTGACGTTGCTTTCGCAACGGACAACTAGGGCGGAGGTGCCTAGTGCTTCCGCACATGTAACATTTACGGATGTTACCTTGCTGCTCAGCAGCTTGAAGCTCAGTTTCTTCGGCATGGCTGAGGTTCATCGATTCCGCCCTGTTAGAGACATTTGAATTATACCATGGCAGACCATATCGAGCATATTTGAAAGTAAACTCAGCGTTAAACGCTATGCTCACTGCCTCTTCGAAAGTCGAAGGATGGACACGGAAAACTTCCGTCCTGGCGACCCCAGTATGAAGTCCATCTCATAAAAATGTTCACTCGGACTTCCTCTGCCAGTGAGTCCTGCTGCATAGCAGCAATGAGAGTTCTCAACTCTTGGACATAGTACGACAATTCTTTCTTACCCTGTCGGGTAGCTAAGAAGCGTGAGCGCACACGATAAGCCTGATTAGACTGTGCAAAAACGCAAGTTCATTGCTTTTTAAGCATTTCCCATGTGAGAAATGCAGCATTTACAGAGACATCGCTCGTTAGAGCCCACTATCTATCTCTTCCACCGATCTTAGAAATGGCCAAGCCAAATCGTTGCTTATCTGATACAAGCATGGCGGCATCCATTGCCATTTAAGCTTCTCGGATCCTGAGGAGAAGATTATCTACCTCCTTCCTTTCAAAGGTTTTAACGTTTAAAACGAGTGGGCGAGCCTTTGACTCTGCATCGGGAACAGATACCGGGATATACTGTGTAGGCGCAGCTGACGCTGCCTGGTCATGGACCTGCCCGAGTAGCGTTGCCTCATAACGCATAAAGGCCTCAAGGCGAGCATTTAAAACCTCCGAGCCTTGGGCCAAACGGGCCTCGATTTGATCGGGTCCAACGAACGCAGATAATCTATATAGTGCGAGTCGTTGCGCCTCAGAGAGGTGATTTTGACTCTCCATCCTCACAGAGGGTCAGTCCTTAAAGACTCAGGTGTAGGGCTGACTACAAGTGCTACCAAGTGAAGCGAAGCTACACATCTCCTTAGCCAGAGGAAGACTTTAGGCTGAAAGCTTCTTAGTTATATCGAACTAAATAAATTTACGGCTAAAAGCCACTTAGTTTGAAGGAACTAACTAAAGGACTTAAAAGTCACCCTGTTCTAAGGAAGTAGGAAAGACTTTTAATCTACAAACAATTAGCTTAAGACTCAGAGAACCAACGCACAGAGTGCAAGAACAAGCTAGAAGCTTAAAGGTTCCGAGAACCAACGCACGAAGTGCACAAGAGAACAAGTCAGAACGACTTGCGATTTTTGACTAAAAATAAGGACTGATTTTATTAATGCTTTAAGTTTATATGAATAGTCCTACTCTAAGTACCCTACACTAGATTAATTACTATAATAGAGATTATAATATGCAGACTTCGTTATTGGACGATGTGTCGTCCAAACATATGTGCATGGTGTACTGACACGCTCGTGGCTAGCAGAGGAGTGTTCCCGTTGGCTGAGGTCGTGATAAAATGAGAAGTGAATATGTTTTGTTAGGACTGCCTTGCTAACGCATCTCGAATCATCATGTTTTTTACACTACTCAAGTGTGGGCATACGATACCCCAGATCCAACCTTGAAGGTCCACAGTTGTCGCCAGGATCATTCATGACCACTGTCCTGGTGTCACTTTCTTGTGGACTAGCAGACAGTAGTATTTAGAATCCTTGACAATCTTGTCAGTACTTAGTACAGCGATATCAATTATCGATTTCTAATCGATAAGTACGGTGATATTTCACCAGGCTTGCCCTTTCAATTGGATTGGCACGTATTTTAACGGCGACGCACCTAGTACACGGATGCACAGTTCAAGCCCAACTCCATTATACTTGAGGATTTTTCGGCCGTGGGTATCGAGACCGGTCTCGCAGTGAGTGGTAAACCAGTACACCGCGGGATCGGTCTAATCGATAAGTACGGTATTACCGAGTACCGTATCTTAACGCTTATACTTAATACCTCTTTATAGAGAAGTATCGAGAAGAACATTATATGCAATATAGAAACTTCAACCGTAAGCTTTTGAAATGATGTTCCAACCAGCTTGAATCCCGTTACAAGAAGTCTCGAGGCAATGACGATCTCAACTTCTCGATATCCTTACTTCAGCGACAACCGGTCTTTAACTTCTCCAAAGAAGGAGGAGGTTTCCATCTACACGGCCTCATTCCGTGAAGGTCGTGAGTTGTTTAAAGACGCCGGTTAGATTCGGCGAGCTCGCGTGCCATAAACTCATGTATGGCGAACCGTTGCGCATAGCAACTGCACGAAAACAAAATCAACCCAGCCTTTAAAAGCCTCGTGAGCAACCCATACAACTTCACCAGGCGATGGAGTGGAAAATCGTCAAGCTCGATGTTTCATAGGTGGGTTGGTACAGCCCTTTTAGCACCTTGAGGTAATTGAAAATTAACTTTATTAAACATTAGCTTTTGGACTTCAGCTAACGGTAATGGTACATTTTCCTATACCCACTTCCACAGAACGACCTAATGATACGACGTAAGACAAGCAAATAATAGTACAGTAGCGATGGGGTTAGAGTAATAGGATAAAGTGAGGGGAAGATTTGTCACTAATCATGGATAACGCTATATAATCGCTCGTATATACTACACACACCCTTCGATTCGTGAAGCCAGATGTAGGAGGAGCTAATTAAAGATCTATACTAGCATTTAATGGTGCACGCATGGCAGAAATCAAGTATCTAGGAAGTGGTCGTGACCATTCGGAGGGCAGCACTTGAAAGCAAACAAATGGGGTGCACCAATCCTAGAACTTGTTCGGGTGACTTGCTAGAAGGCATATTGAGACATCGATTCGTTTGGTATTTGCAAGTCAACAAGAGAACCGGTACGTGCAAGTTGTGCTTTGGAGCGTTTTGTGGCCACCGATTTCTTATCTCCGGATCTGAAAAGGTGAGATTATTCTCCGAATGTAAAAGCAGAATTTCTGTACAAGGCGTCTCGTCGGAGACACGAACATGGAAACGTAAAAAATTACGATGTCAACACTTCGCCCATAAAATGTCCAGGAAACCGTATACATATCGTTCGTCGCCACTCATCTACATCTCATAGCAGCTGGACAATACGAGTTGAGCGAGTGTAATGAATTATGCTTTGACATTGCTAGAATTTTTACTTATGATCATTTCCTTCATGATCGAATTAGACAACGTCCCATTGACATGTATTTAACAACTCAAGATGCCCTTAAAAATTCGCTGTTCGCTTGCGATGCAAGCTTACTTGAGTATGGAAAAGATAATTTCACATTCGACGATGACATTCTAATTGATGACGTATGCGTAATCACATTGTGGTGACGACCCAGCGTAGTTGCACCATCCACAGCATTGAAGCTGTGGAGGTAACACTGCTGCCTTTATCTACTCGAAGTTTCGATTGTACGCTAGCCTCCGACATGCGGCTTGCTACCCAGATGCCTTGAATTTAGCCCGGCATCGTAAGTACCTGTCACAACTCTAACTACCAAAGGCTAAAAAACTGCTTTTGTTCCGTAATGGGGCGAAAAGCTTGAAGTCCCAAATCATGAGCTTGTTTTGAGGATGTACCGTCGTCCATCGTCACGCCGCGAGACACAAGAAATATTTGAAGCGTGGTCCAATCACTTGTTAACTTGCAAGGCTACCCTCAATTCAGAATGGACAAACGCTTCACGATGAAACCCTTCAGAGATCTGACGCTTACCGCCGAGGACCGCGTCAAGCTTGTGGAGATCACCGATGCGATAATCATGGAAAAATTTGACGAATACGTAGAGCATTTGAAATGCGGCAAGAAGGTTAATCTAAGTCGCTGGAAGAAGTTCACCAAGACGGGATCCACCACGTCATACCTAGAGCGAAAGTCTTCGAGCCCCAACACAAAGCTCCCGCAACTTCAAATGGTTGGCCCACTACCTGGTTCGTTGGACGAGATCATGTTTGGATTGGTCAGTCCGACCATCGAGTCAATGCGCATCAAGTCGACATACCTAAACGACTTCAACGCTGGAGCTGTGCTAGCCACTATAGTCGAGCCGACTGTAGATGACCCATTCCGATCAGTGGTAGTCAAGTGGATGGAAATCGACATTCCCCTTGCTTCAATCGGCCTCGTACGCAACCGAGACTACGTTTACATCGAAAGTACCGGGATCCTGTTTCTCGATAGTGGTGAGAGGGTGGGCTACCACCTTTTACACTCCGCCAGTTTTCCTGAAGTGCATAAACTTCCGAACCGAGTGCGAGGCAACATGTCGTTCTGCGGCATCTTCCACCAAGAAGTACCTGACCGGATCGATTGCCGTGGAACGGGTATCATAGACCCGGGTGGTGATATGATTCGAGCCATGGCCGTCATGGGTATGGCGCAGGCGACGATGGCCGGACTCAAGTACTCCTACTGCGGGCAGATGAAGAAGCTGGCGTGGCTGCTGGAACAGAAGCAGTCTGTGGCGAGCGAACGAGGCATCCCGGCTTATACTCCGTTCTGTGTGACGTGTACGAAGGGTGTCAAGAGCTCAAGCCACAGCGAATTCATTAATACGTGCAAGCTGTGCTTCGGCACACTTTGTGGCTCGTGTAAGATTGTGAAGAAGTTGAGTTTCATTGCGCCTGATCTCTCTCTCGTGCAGCGCAAAGTCACGTTCTGCGTCAAGTGTATCATCAAAGCGACCGAAATGAACACACAAGAAGCTGCCCGAGAGCAGTTTGTGTACAAGAAGTCGGTTGTTTCACCGATTTATGGTCCATCGGTTATTTCCGAAATAAGCACGTGCTCGGAAGGCGTGATGACTTCGACGACCGAATACGTTGGGTAGTACCACCTTAGCTTAATGGTAAATACGCTAGCACAACATCCTGACTGCCACGTGTAATGAGATCGAAAGTGATCATTTTCTTGAAACAATCTTAACGTCGAGGGAGTTAACTTTTTGTACATGTTTTAGTAATACAACATGAAGCATTCTTGTGTGGTAAGTGTAGGCTTGTGGTGGTTCTCCCATTTATTGCTATATGTTTTGAGTTCTCTTTAGCAGACTTCACGCCCTTGCCGGCTAAAACAGACGTAAGGAATCACTATCGTCATGGTATTAGTACTGCCTTGTTGGTGATACCTTCATACTTCATACGACGTCTTATTGTTATACTCTTGTAGTTCCTTGAACATGTCGAATGCGTTAGAATCGTTATGCAACGAGCAAACCTTAGGCGAATGTAAATTCCACGCTGCCAATATTTTCTTAGCAGTAAGTTGATCGGTAAAAAGCTGGTCTGTTACTTACATGGACATCGTTTGCAACACAGCATAAGGACGGCATGCAATATTTTAATTGTCTTGCAGAGAATGAAATAAAGCATCACTGAAATAATAACGTTCTTGTTTTTTCCATGCCAAATAGTGTCAATCAGTCCTGAACGACTCATAATGCACCGTTACACTTGAAAGAAGCAGAAAGTGCCGAAGCTGGACCGCATATTCAGTTAGCATATAATTTTGAAGATTGATTAAATGTGGGAGCAAAGAAGGCTACTGGATAAATTTTTATGTTACTATGATTAGCTTTAAAACTGGCACAAGTCGCTGTATTGATTTGAAAGTAGGTCAGCACAAATTCATGAACTATTATCTTATGTCGTCTCAGCCTGAGCCTGAACACCAGTGATATTGACACTCAAATTCATATAGAAGGCACTGATATAACGAGGTTACACGACGGTTGGAACATCACTCCGAAAGTACGGTTGAAGTTTCCTTTTTTGCTTGCAATGTATTTTTAAAGTTTCTCTTTAGAGAGGTATTTAGTATAAGCGTTAAGATACGGTATTCAATAATACGGTACTCTATCGATTTAGGATTCGATAATCAAGAACGCTGTATCAAGTACATCATACACAGATATGTAGACGATACGTCGTCCAATAGTAATTAATCTGGTGTAGGGTACTTAGAGTAAGACTATTCATAAAATCTTAAAGAAACAATAAAATTAGTTCTCATTTTGAGTTTAAGATCGCAAGTCGTTCTGACTTGTTCTCTTGTGCACTTCGTGTGTTGGTTCTCTGAACCTTAAGCTTATTGCTTGTAGACTAAAAGTCTCTCCTAATTCCTTAGAACAGGGTGACTTTTGGTACGTTTACTTAGTCGCATAGAAGTAAGTGGCTTTTAGCCGTAAATTCATTTAGTTCTATTGAACCAAGGGCTTTTTGTAACAGGGCATCTAGTTACACGTAAACCTTAAGTAATATACTTAAATGTAAGGTCTAAAAGTATCCATGATTACTTTTGACCTGTCACTTGGGTGCGATACACAAATGTGATCCACTCTCGTGAATGTGATATCCACTTATGGATTCACATGGGAAGGGATGACGCTAGTTGAAGCTAGGCATCGCGACGTCTCAGAAGGACGTCAGTTGCAATCTAAAATCTAGATTTAAGTTCATGCGACAGGATACGCTTCTAAAGAGTCGCGTATCCGATCTATATATATATAGATATATATATATATATATAGCCAATCAGTAGTTAAGTATATATTCAATTATAATTCATTAAATATAACTCAGTCTTGAATTTACTTAAGCGCAAACGCACCACGCACGAGAAGCTAAAAAAGCTTCTGCGTGACGTCGGTGCTTTCTTGTTAAGAAGTTGTTGCTCTCTCGCTTAAGCGAGAGGAAACTGGTGGTACGACTGCTTAAGCAGTCAACAAATCGCATATCCATTCTCGCACGCGAAAATTAGACGGTCTAACCGCTTCCTCGCTTGTGCTGAAGGTGTGCGCTATGTAGCACGAGGCAACTTCGTAGAAGTGCCCGTCTATACTTGGTAGCACTAGTAGTTCTTCCCACGACCCGTCCTCTGATCGTGCGTGTGGTTGACATGGTCCTTAATATGGACTGGAGTGACTTCCCTCACCTCTCCCAACATCATAGGGAGTTGGCAGAGCATATGGCGCAGGGACTTGGTGAACAAGCCCTGGTCACAACCTCTTGCATTGTCCTCCTGAGCAACATGTTGCTCAGTTGGAGCAATTTGAGGCGTTTGTGCTCGGACAGCGTAGAAAAGCGTCCGAGGTAAACAGCTAAGCTACAGCTGAGCCCATCAGTAAGACTCAGGATGAGCTTTTGCGTGAGCAAGCTCGGAAAGAGGCGCCCAAAAGAACTGTTAGGACTCTCTCGACCCGGTCTAATCAGCCAAGGCCTATTCGGATGGACCCTCCAAATTTGATGGGGCTGCCCCACATACGATTGTCTACTGGCTTTTAGTCGTGGACCAATGTGGAGTGGCGCAGCTCATCGAAGACGACACCAGGATGGTGTCGTATGCCATGTCAAATTTGCGTGGCAAAGCGTCAGAGTGAACTTACTCTGCGATTATGGCAATCGCCGATGCGTTTCCATCATGTAAGATCTTTAAGTCAAAGATTCGTGCTATTTATCATCCGCCTAACAACGAAGTGTTACTTCAGGCACGCTTCTTTGGAGCACGACAGGCGAAACGCTCTCTGCTAGAATTTGTGCAGGAGCTGCATTCGCTGTCGGCGTCCATCAATGGGGAACCGATACCAGAACGTATCAAGCTTACCACGTTCATGAATGGACTTAGGCACGGCCCATCGCGTCAGCCCCTTTTAAGAAAGGTGCCAGCGACGATGGAAGAGACAATTGACATTGCCATAGTTGAAGAGCAATCCTACAACAGCGCCTCGGCGACAGCCTATTACAGACTGTCGTCCGAGAAGTCTGATGCCACTCCTATGGAGTTAGGCAATGCAGATGTGATCTGCTACAAGTGCGGCAAGCGAAACCATATGATGGCTCGCTGCTATGCCAAAGTAGGTGCGAAAACCAGCGTGCACGACGCACGGGTTCAGTACCTACCCAACATGAGTCGGGAAATGCGGGAGCGTTGTAGGGGCGGGATGCCCTACTGTTGCGGAATGTGAAGCTACCCCTATGTTCAGATCTATCGAACAAATGGGTAGCATAGTCCCTGAGGTTCCGAAAGGTCGGACCTCAACCCTTTTGGTCTATAGCGCTCGTACGAGGCTATGACCAAGTGATGACCCTTCTCGTGGATTCGGGTGCATCACAAAACTTTGTGAAACTCACGGCTCTGAAAAGGAGACCGGCGAGTTATGAGTCGCTTTGCCATCCTGGCAAAGCGAGAAGAGGCGATCGTTCGTTTAGCGAACGGCGCGCTCGTTAAATCGGAGGGAGTTCAAGTTGAACTCGCCTTCAGTTTCAGTGACTTCTCCTGTAAAGAGAAGTTCACAGTGCTAGGTATGGAGAGTCCGTATGAACTCATCCTAGGCATGCCTTGGTTGGCTAAACACCAACCATGGATAGACTGGCGTACACGCACAGTCGCTAGCTCTACGCAAGACACCGGAAAGGATGTGCTCTTGCGAGAGGCTTATGTGGCTGATGCTGTGTTCAACACAGTCGAGGGTGCGATGACGGTATGTCAATCGACACCAGGAACTACCCAGCTCGAAAGGAGTGGTGTAGTTGGAAGTGCACTGGCGGAAAGCCAGGTGACACATATTCCTACCCAGGTAGAAAAGACTGGTGTAGTGAATGGGGCGATGACAGGTAGTCATGCGTCCAATAGTCCTGCACAAAGAAGAAAGCCTGTGGAAGTTGATGGTGGGCTGACAGGAAGTCAAGCGCCACAAGAACTGGCACAGAGCCAAGAGCCTGGTGCAGTTGGAAGGAGTGCGTTAGCTGAGATAGCAACGACACCTTCTTCCAGGTCAAAGGTCGTGGTGACTCGAAGAACGAGCACCAGACGTATTAAGACGATCAAGGGCACGTCGAAACGAGTGACCCTTGGATCAGTCTCGGTCCAAGAGGACGGACCTACGAACGAGTTGTTCGAGGCCGTCGAAGACAAAATGCCGGAGGCATCCTCAGTTGAGGTGCTCCAACTTGTCTTGGCATCTGCCGAGGAGATAGTAAATCTCTCGGAGATGACGTGGGATCTGTTCCTGTCCGAAATAAAGGAAGGAAATATCCACGAGATAGTCGCACCAGTTCCAAAAGAGAACGTTGTGGACTGTTGCGCTTCATCCACAATGGATGAGAGCGTCTTGGAGACCGACAAAAAGAAACGGTTCGCTGCTCAAGGCTGGGATGCCTTGAAGGACAGCCCGTTCTATGATGTTCTGTGGAAACACCGTGATGTGTTTCCAGCAGAAGTGCCGAGCCGCCTACCGGCCGATAGGGGCATCAGGCACGAGATTGACCTGGAGCCTGGCACCAAGTATTTTGTGACCAGGCAATGTCTGTTGCCGAAGGAACAAGTCGATTACATCGATGAGTTCTTCGACAAGCGAGCTAAGGCGGGACATGTACGTGAGAGCAAGTCGCCTCACTGCAGCCCTACCTTCTGTGTGCGTAAAGCCACGGGTGGATGGCGCGTGGTTCGTGCTTATAATAAGCTGAACACGGCCACCATTCCAGCTCAAACGCCGATCCCGCGGAAAGATGTCTTGGTGAATTCCATGGGAAAGTCAACTATCTTTTCCGCGTTGGATCTGAAGGATGGCTACGATCAGGTTCTCATGAGAAATACGGATAAGAACTTGATAGTAGCCATTCTTCAGATCAGTCAAAACGCCAGTAATCACTCAAGCGGTATGATGTGGGAGTGGCTTGTGATATCACAAGGGTTAAAAATGCTCCAGCAACATTCAACCGTGTGGTGGCTTACTTGATGATTCAGCACCGTGCCTACGCGCCCCATTACTTGGACGACGTGTTCGTGCATAGTAGGGCGTAGGACGATCTGAGTGCGATAGAGCGTCATTTA